GTGGCACTTTCTACACCACACATTGTTGGGAAATTAAAATGCAGATCCTTTAACCTCTGGTTTCCGGGTACATGACACAAACAAGGCAAGAAAATACATTCAAATTTATTACATTCATATAAGGTAATTGTTGACAATAGAAACAACTAAACCCTTTCCACATCCGCATATGATTCGATTGTACCAGTGTGACTATATCAATAATCTCACATTGTTTTTGAACAATTATTACAGCTGTATGATTTGTTCGTAAACAAATCGCGTCTGGACCTGAACAATCCAGTGATTGTCACCATGCGATACGATGACAGGCATGTGATCATGAATCATTTTTTAATAAAAGATGATGCCAGGTGTTCGCGAAAGGGTGAGGCGTATCCTGCCCCACAGGTGCTTCTCGTCATAAACAAACATATGCAAAGTTTATTCAATTACACACGAAGAAAGTGGTGGAGTGGTGACATTAAACTCAAAGGTGACAAGATTGAGCTGCTATCCTGCAGATGACAATCAGGATAGAGTATCCACAAAGAAAGTAGTGTCAGATTCAGACAAGTGTGGCAAACATTTTTGAATGTTGAGCAGATCCGCTGTCAGTACTATGCCTTCTCTCACCTACAATGAACTAAATGTAATTGTACTGCCATTGACGTTGCACTGCCACTGTAATTATATAGGCATATATCGTAGAGTACCGTGACGAGGTATATAAAGTTTTATCAGAGTAAATATAGACAGTGTTTGTTTTATCCTCTGAGTTAAGTTGAAGTTGTGTATCTGATTCTAAATCACAAGGTGCTGACAATATAAATGAACTTTTTAGCAGCTATCATCATGACCATCAGCACAGCCATCTACTGGTTACCTGCCTGCGTGTAATGAACCCTAATTAACCTTTGACTGTAGCCCGGTTGGTCCCAGAAGTTAACTGTGTGGATGAGGTGCTGGATGCACAGGGCTGAAACCTTACATGTATCAGCGTAATACAGAACTGGCCAACAGCAGTCAAGTATATGACAATGAATTCTGGATGTAACGGGAATTGACCCTCGGACAGCGGCTAAGGCAGGTGGGCTGGCAATCACGCCTCTGTGATGCTGCCTGGCCATTGCTGCACTATCGTGTAATTGCATATTTACGCCGAATAAAGTGCTGTGGGCCCACTAATGGACTCCTGTGTTTGAAGAGACAATATCCCCAAACCCTCTATCCAGCCGGGATACATATTTCTATTCGTGTATGTTGGGATTTTAGAATACCATTGTTAAGATACATTTAGAGCATGCACACACAATAGAAAGGCAGCTACAACTGTGCCTTAACAAAATCAAAATGGAGCCAACGAAAATGGTTTTAAAGTTTCAAACTCCAAAACAAATTGTATTCACTTTTGTCGTAAATACAAACCACACAAGGATCAGACCTATCTTCGATACAGAGTGGGAAGGGATCAGATTACCGTCCTTCACTTGTACAGATCATTGGTTGTCTATGGTGGAGCCTGCAAAAACAACTTAGAAAGATTAGATTCTCTCTACCACACCAGGGGCTGAGGATCTGGGGGTTTTAGGACCTCTCCGGTGGAGACAGTCTATATCACGGAGGCCAACAGATCTTCCCTTAGACAACGCCGCATTAAACTTCCACTGCAGTATATCACTAAAATTACGTTCAAATGAGTCCAATCCAGCATACAATTGTGTTTCAGCCCTCTACATGAAAACCTGTTTCCTAAACTGCCAAGCCTGGTTCCACCACTTGGAATCAGAATTCAATATACACATATCTGCAGCTAAAATCGATCTCAATGCCATTTGCACCTTATAGCCTTCTGTCTTCACTTACCGTGGCAAATGGGTGAGGAAACCACAGGTCGATCTTACCCTCATCAAACTAAAAAAGTCTGAAACAAGTCGCTTTGGTGTTCCAACAGGAATACAACCAGTTCACGTTCAAGTATAACTAACACCCATAGATCCATTTTCTCTAGACGGATCAAAGGCTGATGAAAGCCAGAGTTACCGGAAGTGCTACGGTCATTCGATCCATTTTCACTCACCGAGGGCCAAAGCTATCTTCTAAAGCTTTGACCTACATTAAACAACAGAATCATTCCAAAAACTTCATCGTTTTTACAAATTCATTTATCTTGCCTTCAAGCGCACTTCAAAATGTTACTTCAAGTCACTTACAATCATCCCTACACATTTTAAAACTTTACAACGACATTTCTACTGTGTGTGACATCGTCCTCTGCTGGTTGCCGGGTCACGTCGGCATAGCAGGTAACACAAAAGCCGATGCTGCAGCTAAAGCAGCTCTTGACAAGCCCTTATCTCCTGCTGATCCCTTACGGTGATTTCAAACCCACTATCAAAGTCATACTCGGGACCTGATGCAAAAAGGTGGGGCACTCAGGTAGGAAGAAATAAACTTTATGAATTGAAGCCAACAATTGGATATGCAACCCCAATCACGCCGGAAATCAAATGGGCCAGAATACACCATACTGGCGACAAACCAACCTGACTCACCAAACGGAAATTAGCCGAAGCCGTCACATCATCAAACGCCACCGACCCCAGATCATCAGAGATCAGGTTATTTCTCCCTCGGCATACAATGACCTTATCAACCACCTAACTGATTGTACACTTGTATAAACATGTCCTATCACTCCTGCTATGTACACCCCTATGGGCTTCTAAATGTATCCATTGTCACTGGCATCTACATCTAACTGTACATCTCATTTATTTACTGTATATACTTAATATATATTTTCTTTTTCGCAACTGTGCACAAGTGTCATCAACAAACATAAGAGAAAAGAGATTGCCGATAGAAGAAGAAACTGTAATACCTTGGCTTCTTTCCAACTCCATAAGACTGCATAACTTTTATGTAAATAATACAAATCTGAGGGCTATAAAACACAGCCTTGGCGAGTAACACTTTTAAAAAAGTAAAACTATTTAATACACCCTTGGATGTCCTGATTGAAGCTGATAAAACTATACACAGAAGTTAACAGCATAAGAAATCCGTAGTCTTAATAGAGTGACTTTAGAAGAACATCATACCTTAGAGTATCAAAAGCCTTGGCAATGTCTACAGGGAGACAATAACATCTACCCGTTTTTGCTAATATATTTTTGAATTAAGAACTGCAATGAAAACATCTGATCAATTGTTGAATAATCAGCCGTGAAACCAGCCTGTGACTCACTAATAATATCAAAAAGCCTCATACCATCGTTGAAGGCGATGATTAAGAATAGACATAAACACTATACAAGTAAATCTACAAGAAAAATTGCTTTGTAATTATTAGTATCATCTCTGTAACCAGACTTATGAACAGGACAAAAATAATGCTTTTACCTCAACAAGATGGAAATTTACCACTATCACGAATATGATTAAAAAGCTGAGTAAGATATGATACAATGAGATGACTAGAAGCTTATAAGAATTCAGCAGCAACACCATCTGGCCCTGGAGATTAATTATTAGCAGGATTAATTATCTGAAGTGAAACTTCTTATTGAGTAATAGGATCATAAAGCCCTTCTGATATCTGAAAGACAAGACCCATCTTGATCTGCACCAAGTAAAGACATAAAATGACTAACCCACTGCTGATTCGTTATAGGCTGAATAATACCACTGGAAGAATTACACTTTTTCAAAATCCTCCAAAATAACTCAGAATCCTTACTAGCAACTACCAACTTCTTTGGTTTCCAGAAATAGGCTTCCTTCTTAACTCTGAAAACATGTTTAAAACAATTTCTAAGACACCTGAAAATATCCAGACTTTGATTTACATCTTTAAGAGCTCTAAGAGCCTTGTACTCATCATGTTTTAACTCCTCTATTTCTTGATCCCACCATGGGGGCTGCTCCCTGCTCACTATCACCTTTACACACAGGAGGGTACTTTTTGTTTTGGCTGCAGCATGATGAAGCAACCTTACAAACATCAAGAGTCATTTACACATGTATTCAATAGGTGTAACAAATCAGGAAGAGATTCAGCAAATAAATATGAATCATAACTTTACAAATACCGACATACAAGCATAGATATTCTGAATCACATTATACTTTTCCTACTCTGTAATTATTGTGTGCCAAATCACGATGTATACAAACATTTTCCTTCCTATCACTGGCGTCAACATAAAACCTCCTACCTGATACAGTTACTCACAGTAGGCCTTCCTCTTACTCTGAGTTATGTCATCCTGACATCGAATTTCCAATTAATCGTTGTCGCGAACTATCGCATTACAAAAATACCCGCTAGTAGGCTGGTAGCAGGACAATAGTAACTCCATGCCATAAACTTGCCTGTATGTCAACCTGACGCAAATAGCGTGACTTCTATTGTTAGCTTGCATACACAACCTTAAAACGATTATCTGTCAACAAAATAGTTCATCAAAGGGAGACTGACTGACTGAGTTTGGTTTTACGAAGCTTTTAGCAAGATTCCAGCAACATGACGGCGGGGGACACGAGAAATGGGCTTCACACATTGCACCCATGTGGGGATTCGAACCCGGGTCTTCAGCGTTGCGAGCCAACGCTTAAACCATTAGGCTACCCCGCCGCCCCTATCAAAGGGAGAAGTTACATGGGCATGTGTATGCTCAACTTGTGACAGAGGAATAACTTGTGCTTAAATAAATAGATTCAAGCAATACAATATGAAAATTTGCCCTCCAAACTACCTAAGGTGTTCACGAAACAGCACTTAGTAAATAAAAACGACAAGAAACTTTCCACATTCATAAGAAATATCTGCTCTAAGGAGATTGTGACTATATCCAGTCTAAGTAAACTCAGGCTTAGTATTATTCGTTACACTGTTATACTCAGTATTATTCATTACACTGCTATAACGAATAATACTGAGCCTAAGTTTACTTAGATGGAAACTATATCATGAGCAGATATTTGTTTCAGCACTATTACAGTGTAACACATGTACAAATTCAGAATGTGGCAATGGGCGACACGGTTAACGTGACATTGTCAGTTGTTATTCACTGGTCACGAGGATGACACAGGTAGATGTACCCTCTATGTTTTGTTCTGAGCCCGAAGGATTTGATGATTGCAAACACAGTAAATTGTGTTTACATACATACATGCATACACACATGCACACACACACACACACACACACACACACACACACACACACACACACACACACACACACACACACACACACACACATACATACATACATACATACATACATACATACATACATACATACATACATACATACATACATACATACATACATACAATTTGTATAGCGCCGATATCCAGCTCAGATCAGCTGCTCAAAGGCACTTTGTTTTTCTCTCGTTCACTGGATGTCAATCTCAACGGCACCTCTTATTGTCAATCTCAACTCCCTGGGGTCATACAACTCTTGCAGCCACTAGGCACACAGGGTTTTTGTGGCATTCCCATCCTTACGAGGTACCCATGCACAGCTGGGTGGACTGGGACACATAGTCGCAGTACTTTGTCCCAAGTTTACTGCACGTTGCGGTACCCGCAACTGGGTGTTGCGCGCGTGTTCATGTGGCCACCACCTGTGGTAGTGTCGCGTCCGCTGTCGCCCCGAGGTTAGTTAAAGTACAACACCAGATGTTATCAGTTAACATTGTAAGTTGTTGTTCACTGGTCACGGGATGGGTTGTTCTATGTTTGTTTATGTTCTCTGAGACTGAGAGTACATCACCGTATGGGCCCCGAGGGACTGTTTGAACTGTTTGAAGCACGGGTACCGTATCATAATAAGGTGTACCAGGGTTAAGCAATTAGCCAATACCGACAATCACTACATTTTCAGATGACATAGAATCTAGCAGACGACAAAAAATAGAGTTACCTCCCTTCCACCAATTTGCATTTCGCAAAGCATCATACGTGACTCAATTATTCGAGATAAAGAATAACTAACACGAAGTACCAAATGAATTCTCATAGTTACCAGCGGGTTACATAGAAAATGTGTAAGTAAGTGGGGTACACTGAAAATAATAAAGAGTGCTCAGCCAATCAGAAAACGACGTTTTATATGTGAGGTAAGACAAGAGATATTGTTGAAGTTGTTCAGGAACCGGTGCTAACTAAAAGTGTTACTTATCAATGATGAGTTAATGATCATAAGAAACTTGTGTTTAATAGAATGTTCGGTAAATATATACATATAGACTGCTGTTGAATATTATGTGTTAGCCTACACGTAGATCGAGTCCTTAATTTTGATATCACTTCTCTTGTTTGCTAGCATGGTTCGAAGCCTGTATATCCTCCAACTATGTGGCTTCTCCCGATGCATGACAAAACACCGAGGTCGAGATAAACAGGTCGAAACGAAACAAAGCTTCTACATATATTCGTGCTTCGGGTTATTCCCAGGCGGGGCGTTCGGGTAGCCTTGTAGTTAAAGCGTTCGCTCGTCACGCTGAAGACCCGGGTTCGATTCCCCACATTGGTACAATGTGTGAAGCCCATTCTGGGTGCCCCCCGCCGTGATATTGCTGGAATAGTGCTAAAGGCGGCGTAAAACCATACTCACTCACACACTCTCTATTCACAGGAACGTGGAAAAAGTCCGTCAGTGTTTTTGTCATTTCAAGCATACAGACACGTGATGAGCGAAGGGGCGGGAAAAGATCTTGATGATACGCCATTGAACCTCAGTCATGTGACCTCTCGTCCAAAGGAAAATATGCACGTTTTGTTAACTTCACATTTTAAAAAAGTGTTCTGTTAATAAAACCCGTTAAATATGTTCTGAAGGTGGCAAACTATACTGCTCCTTAGATCCCACTAACATACCAGTCTTCTAGCCAATCCTTTACTTGGTGGCATTTGTTAGCACATACTCTGCTGCATCCACCATCTTTCCTCTTACGTAAATTTCATGATATCGAACTTTAGATATCGGTAGCATCCCTAAAGTTGGTTCCAGGATACTTGAACACAATCAACACAAAATAAGTGTTTGCATATGTATTTCACACATACGATGCATACAAAATTGTTGAAAAGAAAGATTTTCTTACATTCAAATCACTGAAAAATGAAAAATATTTACTGAATCGCATCATATACTAAACAAAATGAATCTATCAAAGTTTGTACAAAATAGGCAGATTTGTAATGGTCATGAATGTATTTTCAAAAACAGTTGTAGTGGCGGCCACATAGATTTCTAACAAAGTTATAATATATAATTCTAACATGTTAAACAAATTTGACTAAAACAATTACTGCAAAGAAGCATGTGTGTGTAGTTTCAGCTTCACTGGTCAGAGGATTAGGGATTGAATGTACATGATTCACAACGAACAAGCAGGAAATGACCTAACCTGACTTTGACTTTCCGGCAGGTACAGTTATAACGCTATTCATCTATTCAGTACTTAAAAGGCCACAGACCTATATTACATTTTACAATGTTAACAACTGAGCAGCAGAAAAGCATGTGCCAAATATTTACAGATTACAAATTTTAAACATATTTTCTAGGGTATAAATTAAATAGATATACATTAACAGGTTCCGTAATTCAGTAGCATTTTCATTCATTTATAATATGGGTCACGATGTGGCTGATATATTGCCGATGTGACTTTGAACCTTAACTCACTCACTCACTCACCCTATCAACAACACCTTCGTAGCTCTACGACAGGCATAAGCCTATGATGAACTATAGAGCTACGGCAGGTCGCAAAGATACGAAATCTTTGTTGGTCGGGACTATGGTCATTTATATTTCATTTGGATGGTTATAATAAAAGATGGTAAATATTCCTTTCTAATGACATGGCCACCACATTGTTATGTCATTGCAATCTACAGCATTACGGGAGTTCCATGGTGGAGAAAACGCTCTTGTCCTGTGTGTATAGGCTACTGTGGAACAAATTTACAGAAACGAGGCGAGAACAAAATATAGTTTACTTAGGGTTTACCCGATGTGCCGTAAACTTGTGTGGAAAAATAGGTCGCGGTGGGGTGGTTAGTAGTTAAAACGTTCGCTTGTCCGGTCGAAGGCCCTGTCTCAATTCCCAAAATGGATGGAATGTGTGAATCCCATTTCTGGTGTCCCCATCGTGACATTGCTGGAATATTGTGGCATAAAACCCAACTCACTCACTCATTCAAGCAGTTTACTGTGAAGAAATAAACATCAGTTGAAATCACATCATGACATGTGACGTCACAGGGAAAGTGCCTGAACACAGTAATGCAATGGAATGTATGCTGAAAACAATACGATAATTGACTTTCCGTAAAACTGAAATAATACCCATATGTCCTGAATGCCCGCAAAATTTAAGAATATATATCATGTAATTTTCATATCGTCTTGATTTCCTAAGCATTTGTAATAATACAATGATCAATGTTATCTACAGACATTGGCGCCACAGTACTTCAAGTAATAACTTTGGCATCAGTAACTTCTACAACGGTCATATGATTGTGTGTGCAATAATCTAATAATCTAGCAAGCGCTATGGTTATATTTCCCACATTAGTGAACAAGGTGTATGTTTTCATTTCAATGAATTTTGTAAATAGCTTCTTTGGTTTAAAATGGTTCTGCCATGGAGTCATGAGACCTGGCGTCCATTCGTCGACCAGTCCACGGTTTCCTTTGACCAACATATTCGGTTTCACTCATAACCATTTTATGATAAGAACTTAAGTTTTGGGTATGTTTTCTCTTTCCTCCTTTCCGCCTCTTCCAAACAAGGCAGCCAATGCTACCCCTGCCCTGTCACAACTTGGCACTCCCTACCTCAGCCACTGCATCAAACAGACCCTGAACCTAAAAAGAAAGGAAAACTATTGATACTTGATTTGTTTTCTACATTTGTAATGTGCTTCCGAAATCCCAGACACCTCTATTATAATCCTACATCAAATGATTCTGAACGTGCTCGCTGTTCTGAAAGGTAATGGTACGACTCCGAGGGTAGTCGTGTGGCATCTCTTCTTTGAGAAAGTGAGTGGATTGCGTTTTCAGCAGTTTTCCAGCAATATCACGCCTGAGAATACCAGAACTGGGGTACACAAGGTGTATCCAAACCAGGACCTAATGAAAAACTTGTTCATCTTGAAAAAGATATTTGCAGATACGTCACCATTGCAAAAAACGATACGCGAACAGAATACATTGTTACAATACCTTCTCGACCTGGGTATCAGAAGTGCAGACTGTTATTCGTTTATATGTAAATTTCATACCTCAACATCCCTTTACAGCAATACTTTCCAGAACAAAATGTATTTTGTTTGGTTGAGCTGATCGCCATGTCCATTTAGTGGAAGAGAAATGAAATGAAACAGTTGGATAAATACAAACCTGATCACTTTCTTCTTTGCCATACCGGCACCATGTAGCAAAGTGTTCGCAGTTGTTAAAGAGGATGTTATATCCAACTTCTCCAAGTCTGGATAATGCTCTTTGTACTATCTCAGATGGCTTGAAGTGTCTGGAAACAACAGAACAACAATATGATCAATTTGAACAACTTTATATAAACCATTCTCCAGGATTTGAAAATCCGGTTTATCTGGTCAAGAATCAATTATACTCATGTCACACCTTCTTACAGCGGGAAATGAAATGAGTTCTACATTGAAAAACAGTAGAGAATGAATGAAGAGTATCCGGCCGTCGAACCATCCGTGCCCTCACTGAACAAGTGAGCTCGTCACCGTGTATTGATCCGATCCATCGTAATATATTGGCCCTAGAACAATGAAATCGTAACATTCTTGTATGAAAAGGTCTCTTACTTGTCTGCAACAATTATCATGTCTCCTTCTTTCCTGAAAATTAATCGCTTAATTTCAAACATAAGTTTTATTTATACGAAATGTATAACCGTCACAGATATATACAGACAACAAAATAGTTACATATGTTAATTAAATTCTGAAACTATGAAAATGACACAATCAACAACTCCTACTCATTGCTTGCACGAAGTCAGCCTATGGTGTCAAGAGGCCACGCCCCCTTATACTTTCTGCTATTCAACATGCTGAATGTGTTTTATTTCTCTTCTATTTTATACTATGTTACCGTACATATTCGATGCGTTGCAGACACGCAAGAGACCTTTTGATACATGAATGTTTCGCTTTCATTGTCCTATGAACAATATATTACGTTGGACCGATAGTCGATGACGTAACAAACGGTGACGTCAAGAGGTCACGTCTTTGTGTGACGGTCACGCCCTCCTAACGTCACAGGTGCAATGAGGTTATGGATGGCTCGATGGTTGGATACTCCTAGTTATTCTCTGCTAACAACAAACAAAACTTACTTTAATTTCTCGTCCTTTGAGTTGTTTTTGCACACTTCGTTCAATCCAACAACGTCCCAAAACGCATCTTTGCGAATAATTCCATTGTCAAACTGTGCTCCACTTATACTGACTGAGGTAAATAGACCACTTTGCGTTGGACCATCGACTCCAGACAAGTGCACGACTTCCTTGTTACCTAAACAGGATATGACAAATATCTTAATAGTAATTATTACCAGACCAATATTGTCAGAAATAACGGAATTACCGATAAACAACCTCTTTATTAACTTCATGATATGATATACTGTTAATGGTATCTACAGGTTAAAGTGATATCTACTTGTTTAAATATTTAAGCACTTCGGAGATTGAATGTTTACACCTTGACACATGAGTTTGAGACTCGCAAATCGTGGACATTGTTTCTCTGTTACTCGACGGCATATTTCCTACATTATGACGACTTTCGGTTAACAATCGAGTCTGGAAATCAGCATCCAGCCAGTGATTGGCATTATGATGATGTACTAACCAAGACAGCACGGATTATAGCCCGATTCCGTTAGTCGCCTCTTAAGACAAGCATGGGTTGCTGATGATCAATTATAACTCGGATCTGCACAGGTAGGATATATGCATCGTGATATCCATTCAATGACGGAATAGTAAAAGTACTGTTGGAAATAGAAAAAAAACTGTTTTTAGGCTGTTACTCTGTATCCCTAAAATTTACACAATTGCAAATACCATATATCGAAATAACCCACTTCGGCCTAACTGGGCGTTCAGTGGGATGAGTAATACGATATCCAAAAAAGCACGTTTACTCGTAAAATCGGGCAAAACTTAGAAAAAATACGAATAGCCGCTGTAAACAATAGATCAGACTATAGATGGCAATTAGGTCGCTCAGGTTGGTATGACGTCGGACAGTCGACTCACCTGGCATGAAATGCACGTGCTGCCTACATGCATAAGGGGTCATCTCAAAGATATTTTGTGCTTTTTCATGTGTGTTGACTGTGCCTCATCTATTGATAAACATCTTACGTGTCCTTCTTTCATGAAGTTTATGTTGAAATATGTAAAAGCGTATGATACCCGAAAACCATCTAAACGCATCGTAGTACATTGGTGGCATGTCCACCCGAAGATCGACATGGATGGATATTTTTTGTAAATTGTTATGACGTGCCATGTACCTCCCCAGTATAATTGCCCTAAAGGATTATCTTATCTTAACTGATATCTCTATCTCCCAGCCCGACTCCAGGTTTTGCTTTTGAGACCATCCCTCCTATCTGTTTCTTTTTATAGTGACAGTGAGACTCCATGGTAGCTACATCCTTGATAGTTTCACAATAAAAGTTATTATTTCTTTACGTCAGCTATCGTCTATAATGAATCTACGCCTAATTTCAAATTGGCAATTTAAAAAGTGTCTTTTGTAATACA